TTTCATGCCTGTCTTCACCTACAGTTTTGCAATGTCATCATCTAAGATGCCCTTCTAGATCCCTGACGTCCTCAGGTGTTCCTGGCAAAGCTGGCAGCAACCTCTTGTTGTACTTAATTGTAGGAGGAACAGTCACTGGGACAGGAGCTTATGTAAGATGCTGAAATAAATGTGTTTTTTTGGGTGAGAGGGTGGAGGGAGGGAGGGAGCCTTTCTGTGCGTCGTACCAAGGTGGCCATTTAAGCAAACCATCTTTGTGCTCCCTGCCCTCAGCTACATAATTTCACGGGACGTTGTTAAATAATGCAAGTTTGCAAATTTGATGTTCTCAAACAGTGTAGTTCTTAGTGGGAAACATTGCCTTGGAATTAACTTTTCCACGTCAGATAAATCTAAAACCAAAACTGGCCGTCTTCGATTCGTAACCATCAGAAAGGCACAAATTAATGAACGCATCCGTTGTGACGTCAGTAACGGTGGCACAAAAAACACAATCCCCCAAGTGGAAGTGTGCTAGAGGGAGGACAGGAAAACTTGTCTAACTGATTTCCTTGGAGAAGAACACTGCAGTATCGCTCAGTTGCCCGCAAAGTACCTCGCTGTGGTTCTGACTAGAAAGATCTTGGCATTGTCCCTGTGGAAAAATTTATCCCGAAGCCCTGATTGGATATTTGCATGTATATCGTAGTCATTTTTCTCTAAGGGCTCAGATTTAATTTGGACTTGCTTAAAAACTTCAGGGTTCTGCTTGCAAAAGCCGAGGTGGTTCTGTTAACCCTGACTTTTACATGTTCAAACAAAAAATCTTCCTCTCAGTTCTTTCCAACACTGATAAGTTCTTGTGTTCTGATGCTTTTGACATTGTTTCCGTTCCCTGGCTGTGCTTTTGTCTGCCTGTGCTCTTTCTCATTGCTGGCATTAAATTCCTCTGTTTCACCCTATTTGCTGTGTTGTAAAACACCCAATTGTGAAGATTGGACAAATGCAAAATGCCTACGGAGTGAAGGAGAGTTCAGTTCCCCGAAGGAATTAACTTTTGTTCAAGCGTAGCTGGGGTGTCGTAACGCTCGCTGAGCGAACGGCAAGTGGTTTGGCATCCGCTGCAGCGTCACCTGCCGTGCCTTCACGTTTAGGTGGCTCTTCTTTCTTGCTGGAAAGGTTCCAGCTGTATTATTCTTTCACAATTCGAAAGACAGCCGTGGGATAGGCAGTCGTGTTTCAGGCTGTCTCTATAAACAATGTGAAATGAAAGTTTTAACGTCACGCCCATGTGATGGGATGACTAGCAAGGCTGGGTTTGGTCTTAAAAAAATGGTTTGCTTCCCTCTGGTTTGTTAACCTGCTGTGACCTGCTTCCAGCAGTCTCTTGGTCTTTGCTCCTCTACATTATCAATTTTTCTTGGAAGTTAACATGATGTCTTAAAAGATGTTCCCTCCTTGTCCACGCCACTAAATTGTATCCCCAGGACATGCAGGCTGTACTCACCTGCATCCCGAGTTTAACAGACAAATAAACAGAAGGTCAGCGTTCAGACACGGGGATCCTGTCACCTGGAACAGCCGAGCCCCCGTGTCTGGACAGCACTGCTCAGGTCAGTGGTGTTACCTCTGCTGACATCCTGCCTCTCCCATCTGGCCTGAAGAAAGCCCGTGAGGTTGTTTGCTCGTTCTGCCCAGCTGCTCTCGGCTTCTGAAGCCGGGAGGTGCCTTTTGCCTTGAATTTGTCTTCCTCCTCTGCAGCGTGTGTTGTGCCGCGTGCCACGGCTTAGCTTGCCAAGAGCCTTGGGGTTTGTTTGACTGCATTTGCTTTGTTGTATCTGGTTCCTCCTGAAACTGGTCTGCAGCCCAGAGGCCAAACATCTGCAGGAAGGTGGGTTGCTTGCTTATGGAGAGCAACCAGACAACTGAGACTCACCACATCATACGCAGAGCAGATCATTTTTGAGTGTGTTCCTCCTGTAGCTATATACACGTACCTTTATGGGTGTGGGGTGTATTTTGGGCCATGTGCTTTAATTGAAAGCAGATGGCTTTTCTGAGCAAGCAGGAGAGACAAAAGCCCGTCAGGGGGTAGAAGCAGAATGGTGCCTTGATGCTGTAGGATATACGAGGTGACTATCTCCTTGTCTGTCTCCAGGTGTACAGAACACTGAGAGAAAACAAAGAGCGGGTCCCCAGCCGTGTCACAACGATAACGACGCGATCTCAAGACAGTGAATCGCCTCCTTCCGGTGGGTGCCAGCCTGCTGGTTCTAGGTTTGGGTATGGTCTTCGTACGCTGCCAACTCGAGACCCCTAAACCAGATGGAACAGAGCCCTTCTGAGCACACAGATTAGCCTAAGCTGCGCCTTCCCAGCGCTGACCCATCTCGGTGCGTTCAGCTCTCTGTGAATTCCCACGCCCTCCCAGCACAGAGCATGGTGCTGGCCTTCCGTGGCCCAGAACAAGGCTCTGTGCTACGGACAATGGTGAGGATTAAGTGGGTTGTCTCTCAGGGCTCCTTCCTGCTGTTTATGCCTTCAGTGATAAATGGAGAAAAGAGTTAGCCCTGCTTTTGGCTTCTACCCTTAAGCAGCCTGGTAAAGGCACTGTGATTCCAAAGGGATAGGACAGTCTGCCAGCACAACACCCTCTGTGCTGTGCCACGTCGCCATCCCGTGCGTGGCGGGCTGGGCGTGCAGGAAGTGTCGTGCCTGGGCCACAGGTAGAGGGAGGAACTGGGACAATTGGTGAGGCTCTCGATGCTTTGCAGGCTGTGTGAGGACCACAGGTCGCCCACTGAAGATCTCTCTTAATTTATGAGATCTCAGACTTCGTGGTGAATCCACGTTTCCGGAGGCTCCGTCCCTTTGTAGCGCAGAGCCTGTTCATCCCGTGGGCTCCGTGCGCCAGCCCGAGTGCAGCGTCCGGACCGCAGCATCCGCGCAGTTAGTTCGCTGAGTTAAGGCAGTGTCTTCTCTTTCAGACACAGATGCTGCTTCTAGGGGCACAGCAGGTGAGTCCTGGTGGTAATATTTAACTGACTGGTTTATTCCTGCGGACGGTTTAACTGCATGTTGCTTGGAAACAGGACCTGCACGTGGGAGGAAATGCATTCTGGTAGGAACTCAAAAGTTGGTCTCCTTTCAGAGTATAATTACAGAAAAATACGCCTTGGCATTTTGGGGAACTTTGCTTCCCTATAAACTGTTCACTGAATGGCCAGTGCAGAGTTTTGGTCTTGCTCACAGGGTGATTTGTGTTCTTAAAGACGACAAGCAGCTGGATCAAACACTTTGCAGTTCGTATTTTCCAAATAATATTGAAAATTATTTTCTGATTGGAATAACACCCAGGCCGTGTCTCTTCTCCTGGTGTACTGATAATCTTTGGCCACGTCCCTGCTGCTAGCTCCGCAAACTGTCACTCGCTGTAGAACCTGAGCGTTGGATCTCCAGTGCTTGTTTGGCCAGAGTAGAGGCCAAGTGCGTTTTACCATCCCGAGTCTGCTGAACAGAGAATGGCTCGTTCTTACATGGAGCTTCTGAAATTGTGTATTGAGAGCTGGAGATGCACTTTGCAGCCCCTTCACCCAGCTGCGGAAGCGTGAGCAGCGTTCTTAAACAGATCCGTTTACAAAGTGGAGCTCTCTGAGAGTCTGCTGGGCAAGTGGCACCTGTTCAGAGAAGGCCTGAAAGCTGTTCCCAGGCTGCCCAAACGGTGGGCTTTCAGGCTTGTTATGTAGCTCATTCTTACTGGTAACATCTTCAACCAGAGGAACGTAGATGTGCAGTAGAGGAGCTAAAGCCCTGTGCTGCTGGCCCGCTCCAAAACTCTGAGTTTGCCGTTGAGCTCCGCTGTGCCGATCTAGCTTAGGAAACATGATTTGCTGAAATCTGATGGTTTGATTGATGCAGGGAGCCAGCTTTGAGTAGAGCAGCAGCAGCATGGTTCTTGGGAGGTATACTGGGGTGGAAGGGAAGGGGAGGAAGAAGGTGTTTGAAGGGCAATTTGCCAAACGGAGGCCGTATGTGAAAGGCATCCGGTGACATACTGTGTTCCTTGGGGCTGGGCTGCTTTTCCTGCTGTATGTGCAGTAAGCTGTCCAATCTGTCACCTGCAGCTCCGGGAGCTCGCCCCGAGGTCCCATCTCATGTTCCTTTCCTGCTGCTCGGTGGAGGAACTGCTGCTTTCGCTGCTGCCAGATCCATTCGGGCTCGTGACCCTGGTGCCCGGGTAAGAGATGCCGATGCCCTGCTCTAGAGCCCAGCTGTGTGGGTGACAATACTGTGCTTGCTTCAGAGCCTCTCTAGCGTGTTCTGGCATTTGCCTGGCGTTCGTGCAGCTGATATGTTTGATGGCCAATTAAAGGTGCTGATCGTGTCTGAAGATCCTGCCCTGCCCTACATGCGTCCGCCTCTTTCCAAAGAGCTGTGGTTTTCAGATGATCCAAAGGTGACGGAGACTCTGCGATTCAAACAGTGGAACGGCAAGGAGAGGAGGTACGTGTCACGTAGCGAGGGCGAAGGAGATCGTTTAGTGAAAAGTTGACGATGATCCAGCTGCTCTTGTGAGAGAGGCACTGCAGAGCTCCGAAGGAGCCTGGAGCGCTGCGTGGCCAAATCACAGGGTCCATTTCTGTGCTGGAGTCTGCAGCAAGGAGGCCTGGGGTGTGCGTGTGCCTGTGCGTTGTCACCAGGCTGGGGAAGGAGGGTCACAGCGTTGCACGCTGCGTGCGGAGCTGGCGCGGTGGTTTTCACCGGGGCAGCTGGCTGACTGCCTCGTGGAGGCCACAAAGCTCCACGCTGTAGGCTGCGAACTCGCGGAGCGTGGCTTCCGGAGACGCCGAGATGTTCCAGCCAAGTCAGCCCAGCGCTGCGGAGCAGACTGGAAGGTGTGGCAGTGCTGGCAGTCGCCAAGGAGTGCTGCTTCACACACAGGAGTTGGCTCAGTGCTTGATGCCTCTTGATTCTTGCTGGGATTCCTTAGACGTACACCACCACTGGCAGGAACCCTGTGAAATAAGTTCCCAGTAAAGGCGAGGGTGTAGCTTCCCAGTTCAGAGCAGAGCTCCAGGGACCCTGGCTGACATTTGATCCTTGTGACTTTTGTGGTAAAGCCTTACTGATCTAAACCCTTGAACTTCGACAGTATAAAGACCCTAATTCTTAAAAACAGATAAATAAGAGTTCCGGAGCTCGTTACGGATGCTCAGAGTTGTCTTTGCAGTGTTGGTAATTGCTGAGTAGCTGGTGTCAGAGAAAGTGGAACCCCTGTGATAATGGAGCTTTTTTCAGTATCTATTTCCAGCCGCCGTCATTCTATGTGCCTGTTCGTGATCTGCCTTTTGTAGAAAATGGTGGAGTCGCGGTTCTCTGTGGCAAGAAGGTGGGTACAGCACTGGCTGTTGTTCTGGCATCACACGGATACGGTTCTTCCCAAGCAGAGCCCGTGGTCTGAGCTGAAACCGAACGGCTGTAGATGGTGTTGTGGAGGGTTGGCTGAGGAGGAGGATGCGTACAAGTTTGGGAGGAGTGTATATGATGAAGCAGGGACTATGTGAGTCTTAAGGACAGCATGAGTGAGGTTTGGAAATGGGAGAAGCTGTAAGGAATAGCAGTGAGCTGAGGGAAGGATGAGTTTAGAGTTTGGGCATGGGACAAGCATGCGTAGAGCTTAGAGACAGGGTGTGACCAAACAGGAACTGGGAGATAGATATATTGGTCAGAGGGTGAGGTAAGGAGAGTGGAGTGATCCAAGTAGTGGGTTTTAACGTGAGCAAGAACATTGCAGAGGCAGCAGGGAGGTGTAAGTTTATGGTGAGGCTTCTAATGTATTTGCTTCTCAGTTTTCCGTATGTTGCTAAGATGAGATTCCAGCACCTCCTCTTGATGCTGAGCTGCAGCAGATGTCTGAGTCCGTTTCCTAGACTCGGGTCTTGGGAAGATCAGCCTGATCTATGACGGTTGCCAAAGTTGTCTTAATTCCTACTTCCAGTTTTCCCCCACCTTAAAGGTGGGAGAATGCCACTTCCGAGTTTGCTGCTGCGGTCAGTAGCCCGGGCAGTTTGACTGGGACGGCCTGCGGCGCACGGGCGCGTGAGCTCCTGCTTGTTCCGCTCTGCAGGTCGTGCACATGGATGTTCGAGGCAACACCGTGAAGCTCAGCGACGGTACCCAGATATCCTACGACAAATGTCTCATTGCCACTGGTAAGTCGCTCGTTGTCTCGTGCGAGGCTTTTTGTTTCGGTGGCGTTGACGCGACAGGGGAGGTTCTGCAGGATGTGTCCCACGCTTGGCGGAGCAGTCACGTGAAGGACGGTCACACAGACAACCACGCCGTCGGGTTTTTCAGCCGCTTCGCGTCAGCCCGCTTCTCTGGGACTTCCCAAGTTCTGCCCTCTGAAAATCAGCAGGGAAGGAGCAAAAGTGACGTCCCGAGCAGCTGGTTTCAGGAGCTCCTGTGCAGCCCAGCCTCTTCAAACCCTGCCTGGAGCAGCAGCAGGCAGAACAACTGGCTCTTGCTGGGGCAGAGTGCTGCTCCAGCATCCAGCGCCGGCACTTCTGCAGCGCCCTGGTTACCGTGGAACTGGCTGTCTGCAGTCAGTGGAGCAAGGCGTGCGGCGTTAGGTCTTTTCCCCAGGTGTCGGGTCATCTGCTGCTCACACAGAAGGTCTTTGGTGTTAAAAACTCAGACAGCAACAGGCAGTAGGGCGTATTGTAGCAGTCTGGAAGGCACAGTCTGGATTAAAGATAACTTTGCGTTGTCTGGACAGCCAGTGACGTGCCCATGGTATCATTAGTCTCTCTTCCTTTCCTTCTCTCTCCCCTTGTCCTCAGGTGGTTCCCCGAGGAACCTACCCGCCATTGAAAGAGCCGGAAAAGATGTGCAACGACGGCTGACGCTGTTCCGAAAGGTAATCTCCTGCTGCTCCTCGTCCTGGGTGAGCTGGAAAAAATCAGAGCCACTACCACTATTTCTGATTTTTTTAACTCTTCTGCTCGGGGTCCAGGACAGCCTTGCCTTGGCAGCTGCTTCCCCCAGCTGGTAGCCAGGAGTCCATTTTTTTTTTTTTTAAAAACTTTTTTTTCAATTTCCCTCCTGCATGACTCTGCGGCACCTTCCAGGCCTTTTGAAAACACGAGCCGTGTACGGTCTGCAGGCGGTTTGGGCTGTAGGCGCTGTGTGTGTTCAGGACCATGAGCAGACGTGGGAAGCCAGCGTGGTACCCAGCCTCACATGCCCACGGAGTCAGTGTGTGCCACGGCTCTGCACACGTGGGCAGGAGGTGGCCTTTGGCCTGAGACGGGACAGAAACTGCCCTCACGCTCTGAAATTTTAGCTAAGGATGAAATCGAGTGTTCATGTTAGCTCTTGGATGGGCTTAAACAGTTTGATGAGCTACTAAACTGATCTCCATGCCTTCTTCCTGGCTTTTCTTCGCTTTCGCCCTGTGCCTTGGGACAAAGTGATTAAAAGACATGGAAGTTGGTCAATGGTCTTCTGGTTTTCCCTGTAGAGTTGCTTTTTGTTGACATACTCTGCTTTCTTGAAAATATGGGACTTGGAACAGGCATGTGACCTTCTCCTTAGTCTAGTTCAGGGAATGAATCAGGAATGAGAAGCCATATGGGAGCTTTCTGCTCTGTGCTGGACTTCCCCTAAGGTCTGGTCTGCTCAAGTCGGGGAAGGGAAAGATGGAGGCGTGAGCTGTGGCGTCCTTACAGCACCGTAAGAGCTGTAGTACATTTGTGTCTAGGAATTTCATTGTAATTTCTCTTGAAAGTTAGGGAAAAATGCAGGAATCTGAGATTGCCTGGACAGGGAAAAGCTTGCACAAACATGAAGCCAGAGAATTTTTCCTGTGCAATAGACAAACAGGAGGAAGGAGAAACTTGTTTCCTTTTCTGAGTTGGAGAGAGAGTTGCTTTTATCTCAAAGGGAGAAATTGGAGAAAAATATCTTCCGCTGCCATTCCTGTTTGAGGATGCTTGAAATGGGAACAAATCTCTTTCAGATTGAGGACTTCAGAAGTCTGGAGAAGATTTCAAGAGAAGTCAAGTCCATCACGATTATTGGTGGTGGTTTTCTTGGCAGCGAGCTGGCCTGTGCTCTGGGAAGAAGAGGTAGGTGTGCTGCTGCAGGCAGCTCGTCTTCACCTGGTGGCCTGACATGATAAACTTCTTTTTCATTCCCCGACTGCTGAGTTCTTGCACGCGTTTGTGGTTTGCCTGGAATAACCTTGACGCACACGCGTTTTGTTGGCAATATGGCCTGAGCTGGTTTCCCATTTTCTCCCTCGTTAGCTGTCAAGCAGCCCCTGACCACGAAGGTTTTTGTGAGTTGAGCTCCCTGGAAGCTCTGCAGGCCAGTGCATGTTGCAAAGTCATTCCACCCTGTAAAAAGTTGTATTTGCTCTCTCAGAGCTAAAAGCCACCCTAAAACCATTATTTCAAAGAGGCCGTGAGCAACTGGATTCGTATTGTCAAGTGTGTGCAGCTTTTTCAGTAGCATCTTTATGGTGATTTTTCTAATAAGGGAGGTTTTCCCCAAAATATGAAGCACTTTACTCAGAAGTCTGCTATCTGTTATCCTGGAGTTTGCAGGTGTATGTGAAACAGTGGTCAATCACTTTATGACTCCTGTGGAAAATCTGGGAGCCAGTTTTGGAAACTTCTGTCAAGCTCCTTGTGTAAAGTAACGCAAACACTTGTGTCCTGAAGTCTTTGCTGCTGCTTTTCATCCCTGGGTTGTGAGAAACCTGCTCTTGCGTTTCCTTTCAGCACGAACCAGAGGCCTGGAGGTGATTCAGCTGTTTCCAGAGAATGGCAATATGGGCAAAGTCTTGCCTGAATATCTGAGCAACTGGACCACAGAGAAAGTCAGAAGAGGTGAAGCTGCACTTCCGTGCTCCTCCTGTGCAAGAGGCAGAGCTGTGGTGGTCAGGCCAGTGGTGGTTGTGTAGCTCTTCCCCAGGAAACACAGCGCTCCGCTCGTTTTGGCAGCGGAGTCTCGGGAGGGCCGGGTCCCTCGCAGGGTGGCACGGGTGCAGAACAGAAGGAGTTAAGGTTCTGGCAGCTTGGGCAGCAATCTCTGGCTTCTTAGCAGTTCCTCTGGGAGAGCCAAGCAAACGCGTGTCGATGCAGCAGAGATGTTCGCTCTGGCTGTTCCTGCACGAGCGATCCCTAACGCCCTACTGGCGAGTGACGCTAACGGCCTCTGGAATTTGGAACAAAGTTGTCTTACGATAACTGCCTGTTCTCCTCTTCCGAGTTGCTCAGCCTCGAACGGTTTTACTCCCGGCAGCCTCAGGCAGTCACCCCAGAGCCACTCTGGGAGAAGGGTTGTGTAGCCCCGTGCCTTGTGCACGGCCTTTTTGAGGCCACCTGCTGTAGTGTTTAGCTGCTAAAAGTCAGTAAGGTCCGAGATTCCTTTTTTCCATTTGCTCTATTAAGTGCAGAATATATTCCTGTGCCCCAGAGAAGGGCAACAAAGCTGGGGAAGGGTCTGGAGCACAAGTCTCATGAGGAGCAGCTGAGAGAACTGAGGCAGTTTACCCTGGAGCAAAGGAGGCTCAGGAGAGACTTTCTCGTTCTCTACAGCTGCCCGAAAGGAAGCTGGAGCAAGGTCGGTGTCGGTCTCTCCTAGTGATAGGACGAGAGGAAATGGCGAAATGAATGGTTGCACCAGGGGAGGTTTAGATTAGATATTGGGAGAAATTTCTTTACTGAAAGAGTGGTCAAACGTTGAAACAGGTTGTCCAGGGAAGTGGTGGAATTGCCGTGCCTGGTAGTGTTCAAAAAACGTGCAGATGTAGCGTTTCAGGGCATGGTTTAGTGGGCACGGTGGTGTTGGTTTGATGGTTGGACTTGATGATCTTAGAGGTCCTTTCCAACCTTAATGATTCCATGATTCTAAGTGGAGTGGGGATAGGGGGGGAGGAGGGATATGTTTGGGGCTGCAGATTGCAGGGCCTGATAATCCACAGGTCCGAGTTACTTTCTTTTGTTTATAGAAGCTGCCCGGTTGGATCCCTGGGTCTGGCTGTGACAGAGCAATAGGTAGAATGTCCCTAGTGCCCGAAAACCTGTCTTGGGGAGTCCTTTTGGATGTGACCTTGTCATCACCTGCGACACGTACCTTCGGTTGTCATTGAAGTAGCTCTTTCAGACTTCCCTGGCTGGGATTCTTTCCCCTCGTGCTTCACTCAAAACCGTACTGGCACGTGTAGAAAAGATGAGGTGGTGTCTCCCTTGGTTCCTGGCCTGGCCCCTGCTCTGCCTCCCTCGGTTTGCACCAAAGATGCCTCCTTCAGCTGAGATCTGTCTGCCCTCAGCAAGCAGTTGTGCTTCCTGTGTTTGTTTCCAGAGGGTGTTAATGTCATGCCCAACGCTGTGGTCAAGTCTGTCTCTGTCTCTGGCAATCGGCTGGTGATTAAACTGAAAGATGGTCGAAAGGTAAATAGAAAAGCAGGGAGAGGGGAAAGTTTGCATGGACATTGAGAGAATTAAGGTAGTAATTGTGAATTCCCAAACAGGTGGAGACTGATCATATTGTGGCTGCCGTGGGGCTGGAGCCTAATGTGGAATTAGCAAAGTCAGCTGGGCTGGAGGTGGACTCCGACTTCGGAGGCTTCAGGGTGAACGCGGAGCTGCAGGCGCGCTCCAACATCTGGGTGGTGAGTACGTGCAGAGGAGCCTGTCTGCTGGTTGTGCTGGTGCAGTTGGAACGCACCGAGGTGCCAGGGCTGGTGTCCTCGATCAGGTGAATGGGGCAAAAACCAGCACGTGGTGAGACCGAGGGTGCGGATCCCCCGCGTCTGTTCCAGCTCCGTTCCCGTGGTAACGGCCGTGTTTGAGTGTTGATGCTGTGTGAGAGGAGTTGGGGTCACCTAAAGATAGCCCGGGCCACGCTGCTGCGTAAGAGCCCCTTTGGTGGGAGCGGAGACTTGGATTCCTCTGCAAAAACGCACCTGATGCTGTCTTGTTTTTCTGGAGATGGGTGAAAAACGCTGAGGAATTGGGACTTGTGTCGCCTGGGAGTGGGGTAAGGAGGTGATGTTGGAGATGTGTCAGGAGACGTCGGTTCATCGTTCCGCTTTGCTCTCTTCCCAATGCCTTTTTCCAATTTATACTTTCGATGTCCCTGTTCAGTCCTCACTGAATGCCTCTCTCTCAGGCCGGGGACGCTGCCTGCTTCTACGACATCAAACTGGGTAGGAGGCGCGTGGAGCACCATGATCACGCCGTGGTGAGCGGAAGACTAGCTGGAGAAAACATGACAGGAGCCGCGAAGCCCTACTGGCACCAGTCCATGTTCTGGTAATGCTGATTTCTCCGTTGGGTGTTTCTCGTTTGGGCACGCGGCAGGTTCCACAAGCTGCACCTCGTGAAGGTTTCTGTTTCCCGAGCGTAGTGAAACTGCTTCAGCAAGTGCCTCGTACAGCTTCTCGTTCCCAGAAGCCCAGGGAACGGGAGGGCATTTGGGCGTTCGCCGCCCTGCCCTGACCTCTCTGAAATGTTTTTCCTTCCTGCAGATCCCAGCTTCTCCCTCAGTGAGTCCCACTCAGCCAAGCAGGTAGCAATAAAGGGCAGCCCTGTGCTCAGAGCAGGCTAGTTTGCAGGTTGGACTTAGCAGCAGCTTTTCTGCTACAATTATCTGAAGTTCCCAGCAGAATCTGTGGGTTTCGGTTGCGTTGCACCTTTGCTGATCAGCTAAACTGGTGCTTTAGGAGCAGGGCATCGCGGCGTCCAGGATGGTACGTGGAAGTTTGTTGTTTTCCAGAGAGAGGTATCGAGAAAATGGGCAGTTCTGCTGTATCTTTTTGAAGTCTTTTTAAAAAAAAAAAAATCCCAAAGCCTGTTAGCTCAAGATCAGGAATTTAAAGTTGGCAGGAGTTTAAGTATGAGGAAGAGGGGTTTACTTTTCTTGGAGAAATCCCCTCAAAACCAGTAATTTATGACTTGCTGTCATTTACCTGAACATTTGGTCTGTGCTGCGTGGACTCTGGACGTAGGAGAGTTTTTGAACAAGAACACAGCAACGTCCCTTTCAGCCACGTGCCTTTCCCCGGGCTACTCCGACCGTGACGCACAGCGGTTAACTGGGGGACTGCGAGTGGCAGGTTTGTGGTTTGTCGGCAGGTGTTCCCTCTGGGGCTCTGCCAGCCCCCACCGGGTGAGACTCCTTCTCCTCTGCTAAAAAGCTGGCACGTGGCAGGAACTCCTCTTGCATTTTTTCAGGATGTTCAGGATCCCTCCTGAGCTCTGACTTGGCCGCTGCTGGGTGCCTGCTCTGGTCACTGGCGTGTGTTGCTCACCAGCCTGGGCTGCAGCTCCAAGGACGCTGTTGCATCTTCTGCAGCCAGGAGGAAATGGCCTGCCTCTTGTAGGCAGGGTCTGTACCTTGAGTTAATTAGTTAATTAGTAGTTCATTACATTCAACTCAATCCAGCTGGCTAATAATGACTGGATGCCATGATTCCCCCTTTTTGTTTTACAATTTTTGTTT